TTAAAATCGATGTCTTCATAAAAACCAAGTAAACTAAAGACGTATCAGACTTTGAGAGTGAATTGGGAGACAAAAGGGGCTTCGTGAATTTACTTCTATTAACCATTGCAGGGTAAACGGGGCATGCTGTCCTTTACAACTGGAAAGCCAGGGACTGCCTACAGTGACGCTGGTATGAACGGAGACATGAACGTCCTACTGTGGCCCTTACAGGTGTGTAGTAGTAGTAGTTGTGGTAGTAGTAGTAGTAGTAGCAGTAGTAGCAGTAGCAGTAGCAGTAGTAGCAGTAGTAGTAGCAGTAGCAGTAGTAGTAGCAGTAGTAGTAGTAGTAGTAGTAGCAGTAGTAGTAGTTGTTGTGGTAGTAGTAGTAGCAGCAGCAGCAGCGGAGGCAGCAGCAGTAGCAGTAGTTGTGGTAGTAGTAGCAGGAGTTGTGGTACTAGTAGTAGTAGCAGTAGCCGTAGCAGTTGTAGTAGTAGTAGCAGTAGTTGTTGTGGTAGTAGTAGTAGCAGCAGAGGCAGAAGCAGTAGCAGTAGTAGTACTAGTAGTTGAAGTAGTAGTAGCAGTAGTAGTAGCAGCAGTAGTAATAGTAGTAGTAGCAGTAGTAGTAGTAGTAGTAGCAGTTATTGTAGTAGTAGTAGTAGTAGTAGCAGCAGCAGTAGCAGTAGTAGTAGTAGTTGTGCTAGTAGCAGTAGTAGTAGTAGTAGTAGCAGTAGTAGTAGTTGTTGTGGTAGTAGTAGTAGTTGCAGCAGCAGAGCCAGCAGCAGTAGCAGTAGTTGTGGTAGTAGTAGCCGTAGCAGTAGTAGTAGTAGCAGTAGTTGTAGTAGTAGCAGTAGCAGTAGTAGTAGCAGTAGCAGTAGTTGTTGTTGTGGTAGTAGTAGTAGTAGCAGTAGTTGTTGTGGTAGTAGTAGTAGTAGTAGTAGTAGTGCAGTAGTAGAAGTAGTAGCAGTAGTTGTGGTAGTAGTAGTAGCAGCAGAGGCAGCAGTAGTAGTACTAGTAGCTGTAGTAGTAGTAGTAGCAGAAGTAGTAGTAGCAGTAGCAGTAGTAGCAGTTGTTGTGGTAGTAGTAGTAGTAGCGGCAGCAGAGGCAGCAGCAGTAGTAGTAGTTGTAGTTGTGGTAGTAGTAGTAGTAGTAGAATTAGTTGTGGTAGTAGTAGAAGTAGTTGTGGTAGTAGTAGTGGTAGTAGCAGTAGTAGTAGTTATAGTAGTAGTAGAAGCAACTATGATACGCAATGCCAATTAGAATGTGGTCAAATAAAACACATGTTATATTTAGGGTTTCACAGAAACAGTGCTAGTACTGAGAAAGTGTAACCCTAAAAATTACATGTGTTACATGTGACCCCTTTCTAAATGGTGTTGTGTAATCATAGCTTATGGCAGCGGGTCGTGTCATTTTACACTTATCAGAGGGGTACACAAAGTCCGTGGTCTGGACTACCAGTTGTCAGACTTCCGTTTTTGTGGAAGTCGCGGTGACTGAGCGGGTTAGACGGCTGACTTTGTGTGCTGGCGATTATATGCCTGACTCTGAGGTTGTGGGTTCGAATCCCGATGGGTTTCAACCCGACAAAAATACTAGAAGCCTGTACTTTAGAGAGAAAGTGTAATCCCAAACATAACATGTGTTACAAAATATTTCTGTTGCAGAACGGCATGCTAAGGTTTGTGGGGTTTGATGTCCTCGCCCCCCAAATACACTATGCTGCTGCGCATGTCAGTGACGATGACCGGAAGCAGTGGCTGGATGACTGGGCCAAACGTCTCAATCACATATTCGAGGAACCGTCTCTCAAGTTTGTGGACTTTTCCAACTTTACAAACACGAAGCTGTCAGACAAATATCTAGAAGACGAATCTGCGAAGCAGTATGGCCCAACCATAGGCCAGCACCTCAGCAAACCATTCTCACCCACAGGAATGCTGAAACCTTAGAGAAGACCACATTTTGTAGCGTAAATGCAGGGACCAGAAGCGGAAGGAAGCGTATTTGGAAATCGAACCATATGTCATCGTCATGATGTTTCTTCCATGGCCGAATACGTTAAGGATGATACATCAACGATCAATTGTTTTCGTGAAGAGAAAGAAGTTTATTCTCAGTTCTCACACTTGCCCATTTCGAAAATCTGTAATTGATTAACTGTTTTAGCCTGAAATAAATGCAAGTGACACGGGTGTTGGTTGTGTATTATTGTAAGTAAATGCAACTTTGTTGGTTGAAGACAGAGATCAGCAGGAACCAGAAACGTCATCATATTGTTCAATGATATAGACTACTTCCCCATCATATCAGAGTGAGTGAATTGGGCTTAAGCCGATTATGGCAATATTCCAGAAATGTCTGGGACACCAGAAATGGGCTTCAAACAATGAGCCCGAGCGGTTGGCTTTAACAATTAGGCTACTCCACTGCTCTTCACATCATATCATAGATTGACAGTTTGGAGACCATTTTTCATGTTCGACCCAAGGATCATCCTTTACGTCCCAGTTCTTGAGAACAACACCACATTGAACACACTTGCAAGCGTCCCCTCTGATTAAGTACACAAATCCTGCCTTGGCCATTTGACTAGGACTCTGTTTCATCTGCACAGGCCAAGACTGAAAGGAATTAATCCCGTGCTTGGAACCGTGTTTGAGGTTTGAGAGGGATACTATCCATACATAGGTACCCACCTAGATCATCATGACCATGAGGATACTCTGTCTTGTCTGTCTCTAGTCCCAGCAGTGTCATGGCTTGTATCTCTCTGCATTCCTCCAAAGCTTTTCAAAAGAGGGTATAAGCTTGGGGTCCTCTCCGGGGAAGGGTATCTAATAAAGCTCTGACCCGGTCAAAGGAGGTTTGTGGTTTTCGATAATCTCTGCCTTCATGAAGATGGTAAGGACTTCAAACTGTACCAGTTTGTCGACCACCTCTTCTACACGCTGTATAGCTAACACGAGGTCGGAGCGATTCTACCTCAGGATATCACCGTGAGCGGCTTCCATTTTCTATCTTCGAGGTAAACGGCTACCAGAACCAATAGAGTCAAGAGCATGCGTGCGTTCTCTCTGGCGACTGAAGTCTGAATGACATGGGGACTGTTCGGGTGCCTTATATTGCCCACTCGAGTCTAAAAATACCTTTGGGAAAGTTGTTTATCCCAAGGTCAGCTCAGTACAAGGTCATTGCCCCCTGTGAAATGAGGTCAGCCAGGTGTTCGATGACGTCATTTTCTTTTATACCCCCTGAGTACAACACAAAAACATCCTTTTTTAAACATTTGAAGAAGGGTAAAAGCTAAAACTGGTTGTAAATGGTTATGGTTAAGAATATATATAGTTTAGAACCACTGTCCATAGAGATGAAACCTGGGATGTAACGTTCAGCCCCTGAAAATAACTTGTATCTCAAATCTAAGGAATGGTAGAAGGGACATTGTCGCGTTGTCGCGCTTTGGTTAATTTTGCCTCTCTTTGCTAGTTTTTGACAGGGCGACAACGCGACAATGTCCCTTCTAGGATTCCATACAAATCCGAGTAGAAGTCACAATCAATAAGAATGTAGCTTTCATCTTCTATTGCGTGTCTTGTTTCTGCACAAAACTGGCATATTTTTTCGTTCAGTGGGATAGGAGGCTTGGAGTATCTTCCTGTCTCACTTGCTAAGGGGAGGTTATCACATCTGAACTTAGATAAAAGTGTTCACTCGTCACGCCGAAGGCCCGGGTTCGATTCCCACATGGGTTCAATGTGTGAAGCCCATTTCTGGTGTCCCCCGCCGTGATATTGCTGGAATATTGCTAAAGGCGGCGTAAAACTAAACTCGTTCACTCACTCACTCGTTGATCTCGATATTTGACTGTCTGAACGTTCTATAGGTTCAGAGATTGTTCCCGTTTGGTTTGTTGTGGTCGTTCCGTAGTTCACGTGTCAAGTCGGTGACGTCACATTGAATAAAAATATCCTTAAAAGCATTTATTTTCCTCTTACTTGAAATATCTGTGATGGGTGAAAGGGAAAGTGACATGGTTGAGACTGTGAGACAGTCTGTGGGTGAGGGAGGATGATTAACACCCCGACAGTACACTTAACATGTTGTGTACACAGTGTAGGTGCACGTCGTGCACGTGGTGTCTTGCATGTTATCAACACAGTCATGTGTGGGGACATTCGCGATGTAATGTAGTTTTGCACAAACGATGACTTGCAAATTGTTGACTTGATAAACCGTGTGTCACAACACAGAGACACAGTCCCTGGAAAACAGCGTATGTGAGTACGTATACTGATCATTGTAAAATAGTTAGTAGTAGCAGTAGTAGTTGTAGTTGTGGTAGTAGCAGCAGCAGTAATAGTAGTAGTGATAGTAGTCAGTAAAAGTGGTAGTAGTAGTAGCAGTAGTAGTAGTAGTAGTAGCATGGGCAGCAGCAGTAGTAGCAGTAGTAGTAGTAGCAGCAGCAGCAGTAGCAGTAGTTGTGGTAGTAGCAGTAATTATCATGTAATTTATATGGTTGTAATAGAAGTAGTGGCATCAGTACAGATAGTTAGTCGTTGTCGCGGTGGTTGTAGTTTGGGAGATTAAGCAGGAGACTGGGATGGTGCGGTCAGGCTCGTGATCGGTAACGTGGCTGTTATCATCGTTGGCTGTTCACGACATTGATCACTGGATGTTCTTGTCCAGACATGCACGTGCACAAACACCAAAGAACGTAATGACTCGTCAGGAAAGCAATGGGTGACTTCTAACCTTGGGCAATACGGGAACCATATGTATATGCGTATCAGAGTCACGAGTGGCCAAAATCGTCAGTAATCCAACGACACTGGGTTCGAATCCCAGATTCGCACCTATTATGACTCTTGTTTTCTCAGCCCCATACACATGAACGTGGCTATCATCAGAATGATAAATACCTTGTACCTCCATTAAATATCCCTTCCTTCCCTCCCTTTAAATGACTTATTCTCCAAAGCGACTGTAAACCCTTATATAACCGAATGATTTCTCTTCAGCCAAGAATTCTGATATCATCCCACAATGGCCAAGAACCTGATCCAGTCGTTCGAGTCGGGACACATCTACAGCAAGCAGCAAAAGAACGTGCTGATTGTGTACGCCCACCAGGAACCCAAGTCCTTTAATGGCGCCCTCTTGCGGAAGGCAGTGGAGACTCTGGAAGCAGACGGCCACAGCGTGGAGGTGTCCGACCTGTACGCCATGCACTTTTACCCAATAAGTGGAAGGACGGACATTGTCGGTCAGTATTGTATGAACCCGTGAAGATCCGGGTTAGAATTGATCTTCAGCAGCCCATGCTTGTCGTAAGAGACGACTAACGAACTCGGGTGGAAAGGCTCGCTGACTTGGTTGACACATGACATTGCATCCAAATGAGTAGATTGATGCTCATGCTGTTGATCATTGGATTGTCGTGGCCAGCTCGACTATTTACAGACCGCCATATATATAGCTGGAATACTGCTGAGTGTGATGTTAAACAACCAACCAACCAACCAGTATCGTATAACGATTACACATATGTTTCAAACTCGTAGGGTATTCTGGATAGGACTAATATATGTCCAGCAATAATATATGATTAATATTCAACAATTTTGACGGCTTAGTGCTGGTTTCAGGGATAAAGAAGGGTGCACCAGAAATTAGCTTCACATATCGAAAATATGTCCATGTGGGTAACGAACCCGGACCTTTTGCCGTGACGTGCAAACGCCTTAACCACGAGGCCACCTTACTGTTCCAACTGTTAGACACTTCAGGGTCTCTTTTGGAATAGTTCTTGATCAAAGAATCCAAACCCAACACGTACATTCCACAGTCCAATCAGGGATTATGATAGGGCATGACTATGAACGTGTATGTATGTTCGTTGTTCAATGTCTTACAACATCAAATGGAATGGATGATCTCTAACAAGTCTATATGTAATATCAAGATTTACCAAACCATTCCACCTAATCCTTTCAGTTCCACCCACCACAAGAATAGCCAGGTATCAGGAAAACTAGTGTAACCGAAACCATCTATGAGGGTACATACTCCAGTAGCCAAAATACCCGTTAGATGGCCGACATTGTGTAATGGTTGTGTACGTAAAACGGCACGTAATGTCAGACTGGCTGTCTACTTGATTATGACCCACTTCTGACTTCAGTTAGCATTCGAATAAACCTTGCCCAACCTTGTGGAATGTTCTAAGAAACGCCGGAACTTGGTACAGTCTACTGCATTATACAGGGATGATTTGCTGCAAGTCACACAGTCCTTTGCATTGCCAAGGGAATTATCTCATGTCAACGAGTGGGTGATTCAGCTGGATTGAACGTTTGAACACTATTGCCAGTCTTATCATTTGAGTGGAAACGTCTACAAGCCCTTCATAAATCATTTGTTGAAATATTTTAACAGACATAACACTACAAAACTCAGTAACTAATATATTTTGTTCACCAAGTGATCACCAAATGAACCCTCCTTTTTTAGAAATACATTTTCAAGTTAATGGGAGAATCTAATTTTACATCGTTTTAATCACTATCTCGGCAATAACACTGCATGTGCACCGAGATTATAGGATTTATACCCTACGCCGATGTCTGGAAAAGACACCAGTCTGAATTTCTAAACGTCATGAACAATTGATGACGTCATCTTGAAAAACGTGAGACAATGCACTCGTTTTCAGCTTTCATTTATTGAGAATCCACATGGTGCCTTCGTGTCTTAAAGACTTTCTGACCCATTAAAATCCGAGTTTGAACCAATCTTCAGTAACCCATGCTTGTCGAAAGATTTTTTGTTCCAGATTATTTACTTTCCGGCGTCATTTAGCTGGAATATTGCTGAGTGCGGCGTTCAACGACAATCAAAGAAAAGTTATTGCTACATGTGATAATCTTCGTTGGTTGTAAGGAGGACTAACGAATCTATGAGCAAGGCGGTAGTGTTACATTTGCTGGACCTGTGAGGGTTCCAAACGCTAGTTCCAAGCTCGTCAACTACAAGAATGTGGCGACAACAGTATTTAACATTTATAATATACTCAACAGAGACTGAAGAAAATCTACTTACTTTGCAGGTAGCGTCCGGGATGAAAGTTTCTTCAAATATCAAATGGAAACGAAATCAGCATGGCAGAATGGAACCTTATCTGATGATATAAAAGTGGAAATGGAGAAACTGAAACGAGCTGATCTTGTGATCTTCCAATTTCCTTTATACTGGTTCAGTTACCCCGCCATCTTGAAGGGCTGGATTGACCGAGTCTACGTCATGGGCTTCGCCTACGGAGGCGGGAAATTGTTTAGTGATGGACCTTTAAAGGTGACACTTCGATCATATTTATCTTAATGACTGGTTCTACATACAAAGAGTATAGCTAAACTAACAGTGAGGTTGGGAAGAAGGTAGGTGTGTGTATGTGTGTGTGTGTGTGTGTGTGCGTGCGTGCGTGCGTGAGTGTGTGTGTGACTGCTTGTACTATCATGATACAGCAACAAGGAATCTGGCAGTCTAGGTTTTACCACCTTAATTGCATGTATAGTTACTTTTATCTTTTACGTGTGTGTATATCGGTGATCGAATGAATGAACGAATATTGCTTTACGGCGCATCAGCCTCCGGTGATCGAACCCCTGACTTTGTGTACTCTGCCAGATGTGTCCTCTTCAATCTAAGAACATGACATCTCTCAATAGCAGTGGTTCGGTTGCGGCGAGCATCTTGTTTGTGCAAAATGTCATTAACCCCACTCTGAGACACTATACTCCAAGCTGACAAGTCCATGTGAAATTGTTTTATTCCCTTAATGCCGAGTCCTAGGCAGAGCAACAACAACCACCTTCTTGTAATGTTGCAATAAATGAAATACTGGTTAAAATTATTGAGGATGCCTTCTTATAGGCTACGAAAGAAATGTTACAATATGATGATATTTTTCGATAAAAATGGACACACAAATTGGGTTTCTGTTAGTAATTTTCTGTTCTTAAAGGGTTTTGGTTTTGTGTGGAACGATCAGTATGTTGACTCTGACGGTAAGATTATTTTAGAATTAACAAGAAGATTAAAAGATACATGTATCTATTTGCAAGAATGGTTTGAAAAGATATCACTCCCCAGTAAATGTTTGTATTATAAGATGTTTAAATGTACCTTTGACGCCCGAAATTTATCTTTCATGTCTAAACGTAAAAAAGTATAGGATACCGTTAAGCAGATTGAGATGTTCTTCACATGATTTATTTATCGAAAGTGGAAGATTTAAAAATGTCAAAAAAGAAAATAGAACTTGCAAACTATGTGATCTTAAACAAATAGAAGGTGAATATCATTTACTTTTAATTTGCCCTGCGTATAATTCCCTGAAAAAGTTGTATATTAAGAAATATTATTTTGTCCATCCAAACCTACAGTATATAAATTCTCAGCATTGTTAAATAACAAAAAACATACAATACTCCAAAACGTGTCCATGCTTACTTACTATGTCATAATGTTTAGAACAGAATATATCTCAGAAAACAATGTAACCTACATTTGATTATTTTCTCTTCTTTATGTATATTACATGTGCGTGTAAATATTGATTTGTAAATGTATTGTAGTACAGGCCTGTGGCCTTTCAGTACCGGAAATAAAGATACTGCAGAGGTACCCAAATTTTTATAAAAAAATAACAATATATATAACTAAGGCCATGTGCAGGTGATGTGATACTAAATGAACGTTGTGTGTAAAGACAAAAGACCATAACAGATTCATAGTTATAGCAGGTAATCATTAATTAATAGCAGATACATATAAATGTACGTTCAGGTATTTGTTGAATCATTAAAATCGATGTCTTCATAAAAAAACAAGTAAACTAAAGACGTATCAGACTTTGAGAGTGAATTGGGAGACAAAAGGGGCTTCGTGAATTTACTTCTATTAACCATTGCAGGGTAAACGAGGCATGCTGTCCTTTACAACTGGAGGGACAGGGGCTGCCTTCTGTGACGCTGGTATGTTCGGAGATATGAACGTCCTACTGTGGCCCTTACAGGTGTGTAGTAGTAGTAGTTGTAGTAGTAGTAGTAGTAGTAGTAGTAGCAGTAGCAGTAGCAGTAGCAGTTCTTGTGTGGTAGTAGTAGTAGTAGCAGTAGCAGAGGCAGCAGCAGTAGTAGTAGTTGTGGTAGTAGTAGTAGTAGCAGCAGCAGAGGCAGCAGCAGTAGTAGTTGTTGTGGTAGTAGTAGCAGTAGCAGTAGTAGCAGTTGTTGTGGTAGTAGTAGTAGTTGCTGTGGTAGTAGAAGTAGAGCAGTAGCAGTAGTAGCAGTAGTTGTAGTTGTAGTAGTACTAGGAGTAGTAGCAGAAGCAGTAGTTGTTGTAGTAGTAGTAGTAGTAAGCAGTAGTTGTTGTGGTAGTAGTAGTAGTAGCAGCAGCAGAGGCAGCAGCAGTAGCAGTAGTAGTAGTAGTTGTGGTAGCAGTAGTAGTAGTAGTAGCAGCAGCAGTAGTATTAGTAGTAACAGTTGTTGTGGTAGTAGTAGCAGCAGCAGTAGTAGTAGTAGTAGTAGTAGTAGTAGTAGTAGTAGAAGCAACTATGATACGCAATGCCAATTAGAATGTGGTCAAATAAAACACATGTTATATTTAGGGTTTCACAGAAACAGTGCTAGTACTGAGAAAGTGTAACCCTAAAAATTACATGTGTTACATGTGACCCCTTTCTAAATGGTGTTGTGTAATCATAGCTTATGGCAGCGGGTCGTGCCATTTTACACTTATCAGAGGGGCACACAAAGTCCGTGGTCTGGACTACCAGTTGTCAGACTTCCCTTTTTCTGGAAGTCGCGGTGACTGAGCGGGTTAGACGGCTGACTTTGTGTGCTGGCGATTATATGCCTGACTCTGAGGGTGTGGGTTCGAATCCCGATGGGTTTCAACCCTACAAAAATACTAGAAGCCTGTACTTTAGTAAGAAAGTGTAATCCCGAACATAACATGTTTCAAAATATTTCTGTTGCAGAACGGCATGCTAAGGGCTGTCGGACTTGATGTCCTCGCCCCCAAATACACTATGCTGCTGCGCATGTCAGTGACGATGACCGGAAGCAGTGGCTGGATGACTGGGCCAAACGTCTCAATCACATATTCGAAGAACCGTCTCTCAAGTTTGTGGACTTTTCCAACTTTACAAACACGAAGCTGTCAGACAAATATCTAGAAGACGAATCTGCGAAGCAGTATGGCCCAACTATAGGCCAGCACCTCGGCAAACCATTCTCACCCACAGGAATGCTGAAACCTTAGAGAAGACCACATTTTGTAGCGTAAATGCAGGGACTAGAAGCGGACGGAAGCGTTTTTGAAAATCGAACCATATGTCATCGTCATGATGTTTCTTCCATGGCCGAATACGTTAAGGATGATACATCAACGATCTATTGTTTTCGTTAAACGAAAGAAGTTTATTCTCATTTCTCACACTTGCCCATTTCGAAAATCTGTGATTTATTAACTGTTTTAGCCTGAAATGGTTTAAACATATTTATTTCCAAAAGAGGAACCGGATTGGTAAACAAGCAGTATGGTGCTTATCTGAATACCGCTCCGGAATACAGATAAATTATAGATATAATAATCGTGCGGAGAAAAACATGATATTAACAAACGATAAACAATAGCTTTCTGGAAATGTAACAATCATAAACTGTAATATAGCCGCTTTTAACGTTAGAACCATTAGTGTCGGAAAATACTTAATAGTAAGTGCAATTTCGTTTTACTATTACAACACAAATCTGCCTGACAGTACAATGAAAGAATGGATAGATTCTAATAATTCAAGATTACCTTTAGTAGATCCATTAGAGTGGCCGTATAGTATTGATTTGATGTCATATCCTTTAGTATAGAAATGCATTTTATGTCTTATGTCAGTGTAATTAACGCACGAAAAGAAATAGTGAATTGGATCTTCGTAACAGTAGCCACAAGAACAAGAGGGATTTGAAGATATAAATCGTTGATATTTATGTGCGTTTAAATCGCTGCAACCGAGCCTGAGGCGTGAATGGATAATCTGACAGAATCTTGTTCCAAAGCTTAAATTGAAGTCATTTTGACTATTATTATTTGACCCATTAATCTGTTTCTTAAAACTACCCAAAGTAGCCGTTTCTCTATAATCAGTAGACAAACAATTCCACAATCTTACTGTATCTGGGAGAAATGACTTAGCATAATTTGTACTTTTACTATCGATAGTTTGGAGCTTCAAACGGTCTCGGAAAATGTAGCTTGTTGTGTCAGATACCTTAGGAGGGACGAGATCGCTCAGATATTTTGGAGTTAAATTATTAACCATCTTATAGAAAAACGTTAGTTTTGGGATGTATCTTCGAGTACATAGTGGTTGGAAATTTGTCTCATCATAAATTTTGTTGTGACTCGTGCCGCGAACAGCACCGCAAATAGTTCTAAGTGCATCAAGATTAAGTTTTTCCAGTGTTAGTGCTTGCTGTTTGGTACAATTGTCCCAGATGTGACAACAATAGTCGAAAATAGGTCAGATAAATTGTTTGTACATTGTTTGTAAAGTTCTACGTGAGAGACGATATTTAAAACCTCTAAGACAGTTTACCATGGGTGCAACCTTTTTAGCGATACAGTTAACATGGTCAGTCCAGGAACAATCGTGCTGTAAAGTAAGTCCCAAATGTTTATGGCTATTAACGTCATTAATATTACTATCCTTCATTGTTAAGTTTCGTTTTGGGCTGGGCTGAACTTTACGAGAGAATTGTATAGAATCTGTTTTATTAGGATTAAATGTCACTTGCCATTTGTCAGCCCAATCAGAAATTTTACGTAGATCATTATTAAGAGACAGAGCAGTTTCATCAGGATCATTTATTATAGCATAAAGTGATGTGTCATCTGCGAAGAGACGGATATTGCGGTTTATTCCTTCAACGATGTCGTTGATATAAACTATAAACAATAAATGCAAGTGGCACGGGTGTTGGTTGTGTATTATTGTAAGTAAATGCAACTTTGTTGGTTCAAGACAGAGATCAGCAGGCACAAGAAACGTCATCATATATGTTCAATGATTACTTCCCCCTCATATCAGAGTGAGTGAATTGGGCTTAAGCCGATTTTAGCAATATTCCGAAAATGTCACGACGGGGGACACCAGAAATGGGCTTCAAACATTGAACCCGAGCGGTTGGCTTTAACCATTAGTCTACTCCACTGCTCTTCACATCATATCACAGATTGATAAGGTGGAGTTTGTTTTTGAAAGAGTACATTCGTGTGTGGTGGGTTTTTTTTTGTGTGTGTGTTTGTCCTGATAGTTTATTAAATGACCATTGAAACTCTCACGAAACTGGGTGAAAATAAACTGTGTACCCCACTTTCTCAAAAGTGCGCAACCTCCCTCCAGGGGGAAGGACCACATTGTCAATGAACTTTCTAGATCCAATTGACTTGATCAGGATACATAGAGTGTTAGACATATAAGTCTGTCTAATGAACATTCATAGTTTATCTGAAACAAAATGATACGGAAGTTAGTTTACTGCAATGATCTTCATTAAATTGACATCCTGGTCCTGTCTCTCGGATTATATCTACTCCTGTATGTCGGTTCGGCGAGTGGCTCTTTCGTCAAGAATGTGATGACAGTGGGTTCGAATCCCAGTCTCGCCCTGATTATGATGCCTGTTTTCACAGCACCTCGTGGAGTTCACAAAGGGGCGAAACGTCATAAGCCTCCATTATGCAAGGGACTCTTCCCAAGCCTACGCTTGTGTTAATGAAATACTGTTGGAAGCGGCGATAACCTCACCGTCATCGCGTATAACGGAATGCTTCACTTTATGACAGAATTCTAATTTCGTCACGTGATTGCCGAGAACTTAAATGTATTTTACGATAACATAAATTCGAATTTGTGATATTAATAATTAACGTTGTTTAACTAATAAGAGAGTGGTGTTAAACACGGCTTTTATTGAGTGGGGGAGTGAGTGAAGTTTTACGCCGTGTTTAGCAATATTCCAGCAAAGCCACGGCGAGGGACACCAGAAATGGATTTCTGACGTTGAACACTGCTCTGTGTTGAACTCGGCTTAGCCCTGTCTGTTTAACAAATAATTCTCATCAATCTCACACAAAAGTTTAAACTTAGAATGTAAGCCCTTAATCTAGAATTGCCATTGTCATAGCTGACATGTGTCAGTGACCTGTAACTACGCAGCATGTCAGAGTAGGTGCAAACATGTGTGTACATGCGTTACCAAACCAAATGAAGCGTCATATAATCTCTCTCTTCCTTTTTCCAGTTGGTTAACAGAGAGACATTAGAAGATCGGCTTGGTCAGGAGATTGATCACACCACAGGGGTTCGAATCACTGTTCGGAGAATAATTTTTAAAAGTAAAAATCTAGATTTTTGCAACGGTATATTGTTTTATATGTGTATGAGTAACTTATATTTCTCCATTTCTTCAGCGATTTCGTTTAAATTTGAAATATAAGTCACTCATAACACATAAAAACAATATACGGTTGCAAAAATCTAGATTTTTATTTTTAGAAATTATTGTCCAAACAGTGATTCGAACCCCTTTGGATCACACTATCTTATCTTATGTCATGTCTCCATTCTAATCTTTGATGGGCATTTGGAAGTGGAATACATAGGAAAATCAAGATTTTATGGATGTCAACTTCTTTATTGTGGAAACACGACGTTTCGGAGTGTATGCTTGCTCCTTCATCAGGTGAATGGTGGGAGTATAAGGGGGATATATATATATATACACATACATGGGCATCTTACAAAGAAAACATGTATAACAAGTTTAACAATGTTGAGGAAAGAATATGTAATAACAACATGAGGCCGGTGATACATTAAAACAACATGGTAATAGATTGATGGGATGTAATACAGACACGAGGAGGCCAGTGATACGCTAAAACAACATGGTAATTGATAGGGTGTAGAATAACACAGGGCTTGGTTCATCCGTCAACAAGCTCGACCAGAAGTCTGCCATATCAGAACATATACTAAAGAATAGACACAATCAAATGGGAAGCCACCAAAATCATGTCCACAAACAACAACAACTGGCGCCAAAGGAAGCTTCGGGAAGCCATAGACATACGGAGATGTCAGCCAGCAATCAACCTGGACCCAGGAATCTACGTACCATGTGCTTGGGACTCACTCATCTAATTACATGTACATCACTATTGCTTATCACTACCTCGTCAGCCTCTTGTTTGTAGTGCTCACTGCCCTCCCTTACCTCGTGGTTGTACGGTATCACTGGCTTCCCTGTGTTATTCTACACCCTGTCAATTACCATGTTGTTTTAGCGTATCACTGGCCTCCTCGTGTTTGTATTACATCCCATCAATCTATTATCATGTTGTTTTAGCGTATCACTGGCCTCCTCGTGTCTGTATTACATCCCATCAATCTATGATCATGTTGTTTTAATGTATCACTGGCCTCCTCGTGTCTGTATTACATCCCATCAATCTATTATCATGTTGTTTTAATGTATCACTGGCCTCCTCGTGTTTGTATTACATCCCATCAATCTATTACCATGTTGTTTTAGCGTATCACCGGCCTCCTCGTGTCTGTATTACATCCCATCAATCTATGATCATGTTGTTTTAATGTATCACTGGCCTCCTCGTGTCTGTATTACATCCCATCAATCTATGATCATGTTGTTTTAATGTATCACTGGCCTCCTCGTGTCTGTATTACATCCCATCAATCTATTACCATGTTGTTTTAATGTATCACTGGCCTCCTCGTGTCTGTATTACATCCCATCAATCTATGATCATGTTGTTTTAATGTATCACTGGCCTCCTCGTGTCTGTATTACATCCCATCAATCTATTATCATGTTGTTTTAATGTATCACTGGCCTCCTCGTGTTTGTATTACATCCCATCAATCTATTACCATGTTGTTTTAGCGTATCACCGGCCTCCTCGTGTCTGTATTACATCCCATCAATCTATGATCATGTTGTTTTAATGTATCACTGGCCTCCTCGTGTCTGTATTACATCCCATCAATCTATGATCATGTTGTTTTAGCGTATCACTGGCCTCCTCGTGTCTGTATTACATCCCATCAATCTATTACCATGTTGTTTTAATGTATCACCGGCTTCATGTTGTTATTACATATTCTTTCCTCAACATTGTTAAACTTGTTATACATGTTTTCTTTGTAAGATGCCCATGTATGTGTATATATATATATCCCCCTTATACTCCCTACCATTCACCTGATGAAGGAGCAAGCATACACTCCGAAACGTCGTGTTTCCACAATAAAGAAGTTGACATCCATAAAAATCTTGCTTTTCCTATGTCTCCATTCTGTTTTCATAAAGAACATCTAACATGTTGGTTGTCATAACTTGGATGTGAGCCATCATACTTAAAAATAAATGTCGT